ATGATCATATTTTTTAAAAGTAATGTTGTATATAAAATGTTCATGAATCTTCCAATTATATTATGGAAATTGTGATCCTATTTTTGGATCATGTAGTGCAATTATAAAAGCTGCAAGAAGATCTTGTTTTGGGATCACCAAGTGAAGTTATAAGAACTGCAAGAGAGTGATCTTTTGATCTTTTTTAGCCTCTTCTGGCTATCTTTTTTTTAGCACTCCTAAATATTCATTTGTTAATGAAAATACTGCTAAAAACTTTGTTCATGAAAATATTTTTTAATTCTTTTAATATTGTTTAAAATAATTATATATTTTTTAATAATTAAATATAATTATTATAATTTTAATTTATTTAATATTCAGATTGTAATTTACAGATAAAAATTCATTTCTTTCAAATAATTAATAGTGTTTGTTATTAAAGTTTAAAATTAAATTTTTTAAAGAAATTAATAGATATTATTGATTTTTTAATTATAAAATAATTGTATAAATATTTAAATTTAGTGCAAAATATCAAAATCAAATTTAATTTATATTTAATTCTTTATACATATAAGATTTTTAATTCTTTAAATTAATTATGCTTTATGTGATTGAGTTTTTTTATATATGTTTATGTAGATTTTTTTAGATTTAGTTTACTCTTATGTTAAATTATTTTTTATATTTCATATATTTCTAATATATTTCCTATTTATCATATATTTAACATATTTAATATTTGTTCAAATTTAAAATTTTTTTCTATATTTCAGATTTCTTAAATTTATAGATATTGATTATGTTACAGAATGTTTTTTATCTTAAATTTTTATTATGTTTTTATATATTTTATTATGTTTTTTACAGGCATAGTCTCGATGCGTAGTCACCTCCTCGTAAGTGAGATCGAATAATTGCCATTGCTTTTCAAATTTTTTTTTCAAAACTTTTTGCATTAAAAAGAATTTAAAAATATAAGATATATTTTATCAGTAATAATTTTCAAAAAATAATGGTAAGCCAAGACAACTACGTATATCTGCAATTCAATTTAAAATATGATTTCCTTTAGTTATTTTAATCAATTTAATAGACTAGGTATTAATAAAATCTGAACAAGGATGTTCTCTTTTTTCTTTTTTTTATTTTATTACTTAATATTTAATAAAATTCTAATAACTTCATTTTTTCTAAATAAGACGAGAATATTCTTGACCCAGATCATTAATTAGTTAATGAATATTAGTTTGATTAGGTTTAAGTGTTTAATGTTTAAGCACATTCCGTATCAAGATACACTCCCTAATTTAAAGCGAAAAATAAAATTCTCAATTCTCTTATTCATTTATATTCTCTCTTTCGTTTTCATTATTTTTCATCTCGAGTTTTTTTTATTCTTATTCGAATCGTTTCTTATTTCTTTCTCAATTTATTCTTATGATTATTTTACGATTTATTATTTTTCCATCGCTTATTTCGAGTCACTATTAACCACATGTCATGCAACAGTGGCAAAAGAATCGCTGGACATATGCTTTACTTCCGGTGGCAAGTTGAGGATCCACGCTCTGGTTGATTGGTACCTTTGAGTATTTGATCAGAGTTAGATCTTGTGGTCGAACGCCGTTCTCATAAATCGGCTTCGGTGGTCGGAGATCTAGTATCCCTTCCTGTGTCGTCAGAACGTAAATCGTTCTTTTGCTAGACCGCTGTCGTAACCCTTGATTGGTCAGGACTAAATATCATCTGTTCGGCAAGTCTCGTAAGTGATATGAGGGTGCCAATGATTTACAGAAAGTTGTTTCTTAAGTTTCTTTTTCATTTTTATTCATCACATTGTTTCTTTTTCGATATTTATCTTTCTCTCAATTCGCATTTTGTTGACTTTTTTTTTCAATTACTTACATTCTGAGCATTGTAATTCTTTTTGATATAAATAGTTAATATTTTGCATTTTTCTTTCACTTTAAATTAAACGAGAGTATTCTTGATACGGATGTTGCGAATAAGTATTATGTATAATAAATTTTAGATTTGATTTTAAGATAGTTTAAGATCTCATCGATGGACAACGTGAGATTAACTTACGAGCAATAAATTGCGATGAATGTAAAAGATTCTTATAAAGATTATTGTAAATATAACACTATTTTAGATATACACTAATTTAGATAATTATTTCATTTGATGTATTTTTAATTAATATTTCTTTTCAGATTTTTCAAATTTATTTAATTTTTATATATTTTCTTTCTTGTATGTTTTATTCTATTTTAATTTACTTAATACTTATCATTAATTTATATTGTATGCTTTTATATTTTTTTAATTTTTGTAAATTAATTATTAATTTTAATGTCTCGTTTTTATTTTTCAGCTTTAAATGGGTCTCGATGCGTAGTCACCTCCTCGTTGGTGAGACCTGGTAATTGGCATCGCTTTTCAAAAATTTTTTTCTATATAAAAAAAAAATTATAAATATTTCATTAGAAAATTTTCGAAATATTTTAAATTTATTAATACGAGATATATTTTATAAATGATAGTTTTCGAAAAGCGATGGCAAGCTAAGAACTACGCATCTGCAATCTAGTCCAAAGTTTAATTCCTTTTAATTATTTTGTTCAATAAACTTATTTTGTTTATTTTGTTTAATAAACTAGATTGCAGGTATTAGTAAAATCTGTATAAGAATATTCTTTTTCTCGTTTTTATTTTATTTCTCAATGTTTGACAAAATATAACTAATTTCATTTCTTTTCTTTTCTTTTAAATAAAATCAGAATATTTTTAATACAGATGTTAAATAGATTAAACGAATATTAATTGGATTAATTGTAAGCACATTCCGCATTAAGATATAACTTAAAGCGAAAGATAAAATTCTCAATTTTTTTATTTCCTTTTTCATTTTTATTATTTTCGTCTCGAATTTCTATTCTTACGTTCGATCATTTTTTTTTTATTTTCTCAATTTATCCTTATAATTATTTTACGGTTTGTTGTTTTTCTGTCGTTTATTTCAAGTCATTATCAACTATATATCACGCAGCAATTGCAGAAGTCGCTGGACAGGTGTTTTACTTCCGGTAGCCAATCGAGGGTTCCGGTGGTCGGGGATCTAGTATCCTTTAGTCCTTCCTATGTCGTTAAAACGTAAATCGTTCTTTTACCAAATCACTGTCGTAACTCCCGATTGGTCACAACTGGTAAGTAGTCATCTGTCCGGTGACTCATATAAGTCAATTGACGTAAATCGTGATGTGAGGGCGATAATGATTCAAAGAAGGGGTTATTTAAGTTTCTTCTATTTTATCGTATTTTAGATTCTTCTATAAAATTTACTTTTTTCTTGGTTCGCTTTTTATTATTTTTCTTTTGAACATTTTGAACTTTCTTTTTTTTTTTTTTTTTGATCATTACAATTATTTTTTAATTAAATTGTAAATGTTCAATATTTTAAAATTTTCTTTTTTCATTTTAAGTTAAGAATTTTTGATACGGATGTTGCAAATAGATTTTAAATTTAGTATGAAAATTTAGATTAAGTTAGATTAAGTTAGATTAAATTTAAGATTACATCGACGTAGGATAACGATGAAGAACGATGGACAACTTGAGATTTAGTATTTAATCTTTTATTGTAGTTTATAATATTCAATATGAATGATTTGTAGACATGATTTATTTGTAATGTGAATGATAAATTGTGATAATGATAATGAAAAAATTCATTTTTAAGAATTATATTTTATCTTAAATAATTTTTACATTAATTTTTCTGTTTCAGCTTATCATTTTTCTCAATTTTCTTTTATATTTTAGATTTTTTTTAGTAGGTATTTAAATTTTATTTAAATTTCTTTTTGCATCTCGTTTTAATTTAATTGATCTTAATTTAATTTGATTTATATATTAAATTTGTTTAATTTCTTTCATTTTTATGTTTAATTTTCTTTCTTTCTTATGACTTTTCCAAATATATTTAATTTATATTTAATTTATATTTATATTTTCGATGCATCTTTCATCTCCTCGTGATGAAATCTGATAACTGATATCGCTTTTCATAGTTCATATTTTAAAAAATTTTCATTATTCCTTTTAAAAATTTTATAAAGATTATTATTCTTTAAAAAGCGATATCAAGTTAAGAATTTAATTAACGCTTAATTTCATTTTTTATATTTCAATTTTTATTATATTTTTAATAAACAGAGTTTGTTAGACTCTAATATTATAGAAATTTATAATTAATTTATATTATAGTGATCTTCAATTTTCGCGCGGTTTAAGTAAACAAAGAATCGCGCCACTCCAGCCAATTAGAAGCGACTTAGATGAACCTATAGCAGGTGGCATCATTTATCTCCGAAAATCATGGTGACAGGATGCGTCATAAATTCGAGCTGTTTGATTTCTACTACGCAGTAAGTAATTCTATTATTTAATATATTATTTATTGTTAGATTGGCTTATTTAATAATCTGTTAAGCATTATAAGAATGAAATTAATTAATTTTTTAAGTTTCTTTGTGCTTTGTTTTCGATATTCTATTTATTTATTGAGGTTATCGACAGTTTATATTATATTATAACCTATTTTAGCTCAATTTTTATTTTATTTTAATATTATTGTAAATTTATAAGTAAATTTATACATTTGTTACATCATTCTGATTTTTATTTGTTTAGATTATCGTCTAGATTATCGTTTAATTATTGAGATAATATCGAAGAAAGAATTTATGTCACGGTACGATAAATTTTCTATATTAGGTAAAATTTTATTTTTATTCTAATTTTCTACAAGAATAGATGTATTTAACATAGGTTTTTATCCACTTTTTATTAATAGTAAAACGGAAATGCAGTAAATGGTTCATTATAATTAATTTTATTGCATCAAATTAAATTATTTGAATAATAGATTTTCTTTTTTAAATGTATATATTTATATATTTGTCTCTTTTTCTGTATTATTCTCGAGGATATAAATATTTTTTATCATATATTTTTTTCAAGAAATTGAGGTTTGCGTTTATTCTACATTCGATATGTTTTCAACATATTTCGATATATTTCGATTTATTGCTAGACTGTGGAATATGTTCTTTCTTTCCTTTAATCCTTTTCGATAATCGAAATCGAATCACGAGACGTTACTTTAGTATCGATAATTGTGTAATAAGTGTTTAGACGTTATTTTTTCCTTTTTCCAAAGTTTGTGATTTATTTGTAGCTGTAGAGTGTTATTTCCATAATTATTTTTTGTGACTTATATATTTAATCTATTACAAGGATTTTGTATTACAAATCGAAATCGGATATCGGCAAAATTATTCTTTTTTTTCCTATTCATTGTATTCATCTATTTCTTAAAATTATAGGTTAGTATTGCAAATATTTTATATTATGCTTATATATTATGCTTTTCTAAGATGGAATTTATATTTAATTATTGTTTTATTTTAATATAATCGATTAATTTTGTACATTATATATGTTTATTCAAAGATTTTGATTTTTTTTGTGTAGGTTATTAATCGATTGCTAATATAAGTTAATTTCGAAGAAGAACATGCAACATGGATGCCATTATGCCTTTTTATGGAAACGTGGTAAAGTTTAACAATTCATTGTATGCATAATATATTCATTATATTTCATTGTATTTATTATTTAATTTTTTATTAGAGTATTAATGATTACTATAATAATAATTCATAATATAGTATTTATTTAAATATATATATATATATATATAAAATATATGTAATGTATGTGTGTGTGTATATATATATTCAATTTTTTTACATATGATATCTTATATTTAAAAAATTAACAATCAATTTGAAATTTCAGAACAATAAAAACATTATCTGTAAGTACTTTTTCAATAGAAAAAGAAAAATATTATTTTAAATTTTCTTTTTTTCTTCTATTCCATTCTTTACACTAACACAATTTTACTTTTACAGAATTTGTGACCGCGTGCAATGCGGTCAGTAGAATCAAATGTTTATAATAGTTTTTAATGTTTTTTAGAGTATAATAACTTTAAGTAAATTTAATTACAATAAATTAGAGTCAGTGCTTTTTCGCTAATTGCAATTAAAATAAGTGCGTCAATAGTCTTTTATTTTTCTTTTTTTTTTTTAATATTCGTTTTCGGTACATATTAGAGTCAGTGCATGAAAAAAATTCAACGATCATTTATTAGACCGCAAAAAGGTAATTATCTTTCTTTCTATTTAAATTTTTATTCTTATATTGAAAAATTGGAAATTATAAAATTATTATAAAATTTTTTCTACTTTTTAAATTTTTATTTTTATTTCAAGATTTTAATTTTTATTATCATTATATTATATTCAATTTTTCAATCTTTATGCTTATATTTATATATCATATTCTACGTTTTGTTACAGATATTTTTCAGCTTTTATGATGATTTTTCATAGCCCATATTGATGCCAATGTAAATTCTTCGCATCTATTGGTGAGTCGCATGCATTTTTGTTCCTCTGGTCACTCAATCATGTCGTAGGATGAAAAGTCCGAATCGACACGGGTGCCTGGTTGTATATTTAGATTTTTGTACGAGCACAGTGACCGCGGATATTATTTATATCCGTGAATAGTAATATATCTATTTTATATGTTTTATTTATTAGATTAGGATAGGTCTTCTTGTATATCGAGTTGCTAAAAAATAATATTGATAATTAATTTTCTATTAAAATAATATTAATGTGAATGATATTAATAATTAATTTGAATGTTTATTATAATAATTTGTAAAATCAAACTATACTTAATTATATTTAACATATAAATATATTTATAAAGTCAAATGAATATACATTTATGAATAAAAAATAAATATTAATTAAATATTAATTAAATATAGTGAAGAAATCGGATGTCCTCCGATTTCGTTACTAAAAAATTTTAATTATTATATAATAATCAAAATAATTTTTTAATATATGGAATAGTTCATTTATTTAATTTTTTATTATGTATTTAAATATAATTTGAAATACAGATAAAAATATATTATTTTTTCCATATAAAAATGTATGAAATTTTATATACAAGAAGATATTTCGCGACAGGCAGATTTCGGAATCAAAGTAATATGTTTTGAACATTTTGAAAATTTATTTTGATGAAGAAATCACCTGAGGTTATTAACATTTCATCAATTATTTTTAATTATTGACTGTTAAAAATAAGTTTCTTATTAATTCTTATAAATAAATTTCTCATTCAATATATTCTCCTTTTTCAATATTAGAATTAATCATGAAATAAATTTACTAAAGTCGAAATAAAATAAAATAAAAAAAATTTAGCCCGTTAGAAAATGATATTAATACTTGTTTTAGCTAGGATTTTCAGATTTAATCCTTTCCATGTCCATTTCCAGGATCTCATTCACATGCTCAGGTGCTATTTGAATGAGAGAGAGGCAATGGGCATGATGATCATAGTTTATAAGTTTATAACAAGTTTTCAGCGACTGACGATTGCATTAATGTATCGTGCACGACGTATTTTTCACATTGTGTGTGTGTATGTATGGTTAGGTTGTGGAATTGCGTCGTTTCGATTATACGTTCATTCACACAATTTACAATAAAAATATTATATGACTACGAATTATAAATACTATTCTTATTTTTATTATTATTATTTTTATTAAATTGAATAATGTTATCATTTATCTCAAGAATTTTATTTTTTTTTTTATATATATTTTATTTTTTTTATAATGCATATATAAAGATATGATATATATTACTTCTGTATACTCCATTCTTTCTCTATCGTTAATGTTGATAATTAAAATTGAATTATAATCTTTTATCGCGATTTTACACGCAATGATCATTAATCATCGTCAGTCGATTTCAGGAAAAAGGTACGTAAAGTTAGAGTATGAAAGTAGTGTGCCAAGCTCGGGTGTCGGAGGCGTCCCGGGACGTTTTCCCTAGTGTAGGCTTTTTGCGCCCGAGTGTTATGCGTGAGAATCGTAGAATGAATGTGTTGGTATGTCTGGTTTGCTATATTTTTTAAATATAGGTTTAGGTAGGATAGGTAGCATGTTTTCTGGTATGAGTGTTAATTATAAGTAGGTAGGGCCGGGCAGGTTGTCACAGTCTCTTATCGGGTAGGCGTGTTTTCGCGTGACAACCTGTTTCAGGAGATAACATTTGAAAAATCGAGGGTAAAGAGAATGGATGAATGGACTATGCTATTCGTCTCTGGCTCATCGATTTTTCGAATTCCGCGGTCGCGGTCGCGAAATGGGTTTCGAAACGAACGTTGCGCTCGAGATTCTGCGTATGAACGGACAACGATCATTGCGATCGTTGGTCGTCCATGTGTATTCAGCTTTCGTGATGTAGTTTTTTTTTTTTTATTTCTTATTTTCTTTGTTCACGATTAGGAAATCTCGAGCCTAGTTTTAAGTTTCAGCGCCCGAAGGAGGAAGACCGAAGAGGCCCGACAAACTGTCACGAAGAGGGCTGCAACGAATGGCTTCTCATTTTTTGGATCTTGTTTAGCGCCAAAGAATGGGAAGTCATTGTTACTATTTTGTCACTGTGCTCGTTTTAGTAATATATGGTTATTATTGTTGTATTATTCGGCCAATTTGCATGCTGGCCTATCATCATTCAATCATCATGGGCATCGCGATTTTTTTAGTGTTATTATATTAGTATTAGTGTTGCGTTGAAAAATAATCGCGTTTATTTTAATATTGCGAATATTGAATGCCCATGCTTTTAGAATTGTGCAAATTTCTGTTTTTGTAGTTAAAACACGAGGGATTATATCAGTTATTAAGGAAACTGCATTAAATATCTCGTTATTAGTGTTGCGTACTGAAATTTGAGTGCATAAAGTAATATTTATTAATGTTACGATTATAAATAATTGTTTCGTGAATTTTTCTTTTTTTTTTTTTACTATTTGTAAATTAATTTGTACTGCATATAAAATGAAGCACTCTTCGCGGTTTCTTTTGAAAATTTAATATATTTAATATTGCGAAACAATGAAATTCTATTTAAGCTTTGTTCAAATTCACATGGATTTATTATTATATTTTCAAAGTCTTTTTGATTCCTTTTTTTAATCTCCTCTTGTAAAAATAGAGTATTTGTTACTGAAAATAATACTAAAAATAATATTAAAAAATGTACTTTACTTGTTACATATGGATATCTTTCATTTATTATTTTATTTTTTTTAAATTATTTGTAAATATAATGAAATAATCAATTCAAATAAGATTCAAATCTAAATTTTCTAATTCAAATTTCTAAATTTAAATTTAAATTTATATTATTTTAAATTTATCTAATTGTGATTGAAAAAAAATGAAAGATATAAATAATTTAACAATGTTTTGTGAATTTGATTATATATTTTCTTTTTAAATAAAAATGTTTTATTTATCTAATTTAATAGATGAATTTATTATAGGTTTATTGGTATGTGTGTGAAATATTTAGTAGTATGTTAAATATCTTAAATATATAGATTAAATATCTTATTATATATATAGAGCTATAAAAAGAAACTCTTATATATTTAATAGACAGAGTTTCTAAAATATTTAAAATTTTATATAATGTTTTCAGAATCTTTTATAGGAAAATAAAATTATATGATGTTATATGAAAGATATTGAATGTTTTGGAAATGTATTTTATATTAAGCTGTATCTCTTTTTCCTTTTTTATTATATCCTTTCTTATTATATCCAGATATTTATGTAAACAGATTTCATAAAAAATATTGGATTTTTAATAGGCAGATTAAATTTATAATTAGGTAGCATATTTTTAAATTAAATTTATGGTTAGATAGATCTGCTCTTAGATTAAATATACTTTTAGGATATTTATGAAATTATATTAGGAAAATATTGCTAAAAATCAATGTTTTTTGTAGAGTTTATTTCTATTTAAATAAGTACTATTTATTTAGACAGATTTATTTTTTTATTTTTTATTTTTTGAAATTAATATTTCAAAATATATGATATAAAATTTTATAAAATATCCCATTTTTTCTCTTCTTTATTTATGATAAGAACGCGTTATTACAGAAATCGTCCTTTCTGAATTCTGTTAAAGTATGCATCCGCAAAGTTCTGCTTATCGACCGAAGCTACATAGAAGTTTCTAAAACGTTCTGTTTTATCGATAGTTTCAATTTTAAAGCGCCAAGTTTTGAACATAGACGAATATCAATTAAATTTCTTTCCTTTTTATTAAATATTTAATCATAAAATATAAAGAAATTTTAATCTCACCTCCTTCGTCGGTCATTACAGAAATGGTGGTTGCAGGACCATGTCCTTCCGGGTTGAAAACCTGTAATGACACCAGGTATTGGGTGTACGTCTGCAGATTGCGGATTGTATGATTCTGCAATGAAATGTGCGAAAATTTATTAAACGCAAAATATCGATATAAAATCAAACGCAACACGGATAACAAAAGATATTCGAACAAATATTTATTCAACTTACGTCAATGGCTGGATTGCGTATATATACTTCTTTTTCTTCCATATAGGGTTTGTCTCGAGGTTTATACCCGATTCGATACCCAAGGAATTCGCCGTGAATTGTGTCAGGGCTGGGCGCTTTCCACGCCAAATATATAGATGTGGCAGATGTATTATGAGCGCTGGTAATTATAGGTTTTCCTGATGGCACTAAAATGAGAAAATGAAACATATGCATTATCATATTTTTGCATAAATATATAGATACTTTTATGCTCGCAAAATATTTTATCGAGTATTGTAAAAACACTTCAACAAAAATTTCCATTAATAGGTATTTTCGTAAATTTTCTCGATTAATCTTCTTAAAAAAAAAAAAGGAAGAAAGAAAACGAGTTTTTTTTTCTGAATTTTTAACTTAGTTTTGTAATTAATAATTTTTTCGAACGTTCCAATAATCGAAATAATTTAAAATTTTTAATTTTTCTATGCCAATTTCTTTTACTCATTTATTTGTTTTCATTTTTGACTTAATAAAAAAAAAAAAAAAAGAAAAAAATTGAAGAATAATCGAAATATCATCAATAAATGAATTATAATGAGAAAAAATCGATGTATCGAATGTATTAGTTGAAGACATATGATAAAGGGGCGGGAAACATCGAAACAGGCGGATCAACACGAGTGGCATCGGATAAAAACGTATTTGCAATGATTGTTTGATGATCAGCTCGCAATAAATATCGGATCGATCGTATTTATTTTCTACCTTTGGCCGTCGTCGCGAATAAAATTCGAACAAGTACGCTTAATCGTATTTCCCATTATTTCTCTTTCCCTCCATCCCCTCTCGTTTGTGATCCAGGTACACGTATTTCAATGGACCCTTCCCTGTCGTAATATTTTCAACAATTGATAGCTTTCGACTCGTTTAAAATTCGTGCGCGTGTAATTTAATACTTTTCGCATAATCAAATTTTGCTGGCTGATCAAAACGGTACCATCGTTCCGTTCAAAAAATAATAGCAATTACCCCAGCGAAGAAATACGATCCGAACGAGCTTATTTCATCTCGACTCCTCTATTTGTCACAAACGTCTCGAACAATTTATCGACCAACGTAGTCGCGGAATCTTCCCAATGAAATGGAATAGAAATTTTCATTGCTATCGCAATTTTCTTTCTTTCTTTCTTTCTTTCTTTTTTTCCGAGCTATATCTGACTTCCGGGTTTAATATATCCTTCTTAAAATTCTCTTCATCGTATCCCGTGCATTTCCACTACCAGGACATTTCATAAGCACATGTTATTTCATTACTTTGCTCTTGGCGCCGACGTTGCTCCACCGAATACTAAGTTGCATTGTAACAACGAAACTTCTAGCCACCAGTTTCTCGCAGTAACGGAATATACAACGAAATTCCAAGGTCGAAAAAAAACAAAGAAAAGAAAGAAAAAGGACGTAACGGGCGTAACGTTCATACGTCTGTTTTTATACTCTTATAATTCCAACAACGTTTTTCCTAAAAAGCCAACACGAGTTACGTAATGTAGGTATAATCGCGTTGCATTGAGCAACTCGCGTTACCTTTTTAAATCGTGTCGGGAAACGTGTGTCCTTATTAATTCCCACTTTCCTCTTATCTCAGGCAACCGAGATCACGGCACCCTCGACCCTTTCAAAACGGTCCAACTTAACTTAAGCGGCGTCCGTATCGTTGACGAAACTTCGTTGGCGTTATCGCGCGCCAATATTCGCGGATGGAAAGTTGTCGAAGTTCCGTTCCGTGTTTACTTCTGGTGGAACGAGGGATTGCCTTGGAAATAATTTGAAGACGTTTAATGCGCGTCACGCGTCGCTCGATGACAGGAGGTGGGTGCCAAACTTCCGCCGACTCGTTAGCGTCCGTGTTAGAAATGTTGGCCGCGAAGGCGACGATAACCGGGCCGCGAAAATAAAGCGTCCGCGGGTGAACTAGCGAGTGAAAGTCGACGGATTAATTAATGCATCCCGGCCGAAACTTCGAACGGACGTTTCGGTGAATAATTGCCGGTGACAACGATTAGTCGGTTGGTTTACGGAGAAATTGCTCGGACGAATGCTTGTTATTGTTTCGCGGGTTCAGGGAAATTCGTGTCGGTCGGGAAAATCGCGAGATATTGGGGGTTAGATTAACTGGACGAATTAGGAACAATAGGGAATTGAGAGATATTTGGGGAGCGGGTATAAAGAAAAGTGTGTATGTCGAAATAATTATTCTTTTATTACCAAATGTTACTTACAAACAAGAGGATGATAAGGTAAAAAAAATATTTGTCGAAGGTTTTTCGAAGAGTTTCGAATATAAAAATAATCAGTTCAGAGCACGGTTTTCTTCGGTGAATCAATTATCTATATTGCCTTATTAATAAATTCTCGAGTTTTTGTTCGAGTTGGACGGTTAGCAAAATTATTTAAATCGCGATCATCGTATTTTTTATTTATACGCGAAATACGTGTAGAACGATCGAATAATTTTTCCATTTAAAACTGGCTGTCCGTTTTTATTTTCGATAATCCTTTTTCTCACAATTATTCATAAGTTGGACGATAAGTTCCATTTTACTAATTATTACGTGGTAGTTAATTTTCATCCACGTTACTTTTCATCAGGATTTCTTACCTTTTGTTATTCTTGTCGTTTAAATTAACATATTCTTCGAAACAGACTACAATATTCAGACGGATGATTCATATTACGTTGAACAATATTTCTCGAGAAGAAAAATAAAATTCAACATATTTTACAGGTTATATTTCAGAAAAAAAATTTATCGCGAATACGAGAAAGCTCTTTTAATATCTGCAAATTAGTTTATACATCATGATTGTATTTTTTCGAGTTTACTAGCTTCGGGGCATTCGTTCTTATTCCAGTCACGTTTTATTTCAATTCAAGCAAAACCGCTGTTTCCCTCGGCCACCACCGTTGCGGTGGCAGTCAATTAACGAAACAACCAGAATTATTAATGCTTAGCTGAAGACATTGTAGTGGGTCAGGTATTACGTGGTATACGTGCGTGAGCGCGATAAGTCTTTCATGCGATTCCGGGCCGGCCACTTCGCCGGGATAATTCAGCTTTCGTAATAAATGCGAGCAACGCGTTCCTTTTTTTTTTTTCTTTTTTTTTACCGTCGCAAAATCTGCGTTAAATTATTACGATCCTGTGCCAGGGCTACGTTTACGACGGCTATGCTTCCCTCCACGTTTTAAAAGCCACGCGACGTCGTCGATCTCTTTTCTTTTTCTCTTTTTTTTCTCTTCTTTTTTTTCAAATATCCCTCCGAAATTTTCGTTCGAAGCCCTCTTTCGTTTTCTCTTCGAATCCCACAAAAAAAAAGAAAAAAACTAATTCAATATCCCGTGCGATAATAAAGTGCGGCGCGCTAGGTAAAGTGTAGCGGTTCTATAAGCTAAATAGACGCAGTTGCCGCGATACTCGCGCAATAAAAACGCCGCCGCCACTTGGCGAATTACACTTTCCACATCCTGGTGCGCGACATAAAACGAAAAAAAAAAAAAAAAAAAAAAAAAAAAAAAAAAAAAAGAAAAAAAAAGAAAAAAGTAACCAACGGAGAAGACGTGGAACTTGAAGAGAGGAGGAGGAGAAGGAGGGAAAGTAAGTACGGATAAGAATTTCCACGAATCCCTTCTTATCAGCTCCGAAGGGAAATAAAAGCGAGACGATCCACCACTCTTCCGGTGGCGCGGTCTCGGCGTTCAAGTTCATAACTCAGGTTGATTACTGGCTCGCGGGCCGAGGATGTTGCCGAAATTACCGTCGTGCTGCGACCGCGCCACGAATTTTCCAATTTTCGCGCGGACTCGACACCCCTCTCCCTCCCCTTCTCACGAAACTTAGAACTCCCTGTGTGGACGTGTATATACGCCGA